GGGTTTTTTGTCCACCTGTGGAGTTCTCCCCATGGACAGGATGACATGAAAGGGATCTGGGCACAATCTCACCTGTTCCAAATAAAGTTGCTTTTGCAATTGCCTACCAGTAATCCTCGACTTACGACCAGGATTAATCCCCCAATTTCTGTTGCTAAGGGAGACGTTTGTTAAATGAATTTTGCCGCATTTTGCAACCTTTTATTACCACGTTAAGTGAATCATGGTGGTTGTTAAGTCAGGAACATGGCTGTTAAGTGAATCTGGGCTTCTCCATTGGAAAGGTGACCAGACCCTCCTGATTTTGGCGGGACAGTCCCGATTTTTAACAATTTGTCCCGCGTCCCACAGCATTTTTAAAAAGTCCCAATTTTTTTTAAAAAAATTTAATCACCCCCCCCCCCCCGGTCAGTGGTGTCCCTCTTTACCAATGTTAAAATCTGGTCACCTTATGCTACATTAATACCCCCATGCACTCTAAATTGGTTTTTCTAAAAACAATTTCATTCAGTGAATTGCATATTGGTACACATATGCCCAAGTTTCTAATTCATTTTTTCACTTCACATTTGGAATTAATCTAAGAAAGGTAATATTATAAAATAGGTTTTTGATTGCTGAACACTTGGGTATATAAAGGTCAGGAGAAATGCTTAACTCAGGAATAATTTTGGCAAGTAAGGAATAACTTTATGCATTTTTAAAACATATGCACACACAAAGTATGAGAGCCAGTGTGGTGTATTGGTTAAGGTGCAAGACTAGGTCACCCGTTGAACAGGGAAGTTGCAAAATATTTATGAATGTGCACTAGACTCATTGGTAGAGTAGGATTATTGTGACCATATTTCCATGGACAAAAATAAAGGACAAACCGGAAAAAGGGGCAAATCTGAAAAGGTTCATAAGAATAAAATATATTTTAATGTTTGTAACTTTGTTTACAAAGGAAAATAAAGAGACCGAGGAATAAAAAATTAAGAGAAACTCTACAAAAATGCATATTTTAATAAAAATAATATCAAATAATATTTGGAGATTTATTTTTTTAAAGCAACTCTATTTCCATAATTTTATAACAGACTAAATTGTGAATTAAGTCATACTATTTGTACAATACTAGGGCTCCATGGCTAAGACACTGAGCTTGTCAATCAGAAGGTCAGCTGTTCGAATCCCTAGCGCTGCAAAACGGAATGAGCTCCTGTTACTTGTCCCAGCTTCTGCCAGGTCGAAAGCACATAATAAATGCAAGTAGAGAAATAGGGACCACTTTGGTGGGAAGGTAACAGCGCCCCATGCGCCTTCGGCGTTTAGTCATGCCGGCCACATGACCACAGAGACGTCTTTGGACAGTAATGGCTCTTCGGCTTAGAAACGGAGATGAGCACAGTCCTCTAGAGTTGGAAACAACTAACACTCATGTGCGGGGGAAACTTTACCTTTACTTATTTGTACAATAAAATGTAAATGCCCAGAATCAAGGACAAAAGTGCGTTTTTGAAAAGTAAATAAATCTAAAGGATACCGTTGTGAAAAAATGTGCTTTAGAATAATGGACTTACAGTCACTATAATTATGATCCATGACCATTAATGAAAAGTCCTTCATTCTGCAATCACACGCATGCATGTTGCATGGAGGAACTTTGTTCATTCAGTTTGCTTTGTAGATAAATTGAAGAATAATTATTTCTTCCCTTATATCTTGTATTAGGGTGTGGAGTTTGCAAAAGAATGATGCCAGCTTTCCAACAAGCATCCACCGAACTGAAGGGCATGTATGTAAGTGAAAAGTCTTGTAAGACGTTTTTGGGTTTTTAATTACTTCATTAATAAAAGTAAAGCTGCTTTATTGGTATGTTTTTAATATGTAATAGTTACTGAATATAAAACATGCTTAAATTAAAAAGCGAACAGAAATGTTACCTTATTTATATTAATCCTCTGGGAACATTTACTTGAAAGTATCAATTTAGAACAGGTTTCCATGGGATCTCGTTATACCTGAACATAAAGTCAAAATTAAATTTCCTATCTGGCTATTTTATATTCCAGGGAAGGTTACTTTGAATTGAAAGTGATGGAGTACCATGAAATCAAGTGTTTCCAATTCTCCCTCCTGTTGTATTTAATCACGTTTATATTCTCCCTTTCTTCTGGGAGGTAGGCAGTTCTTCAGAAGTAGCACACTGGGAAAATTTAGGCTGAATGGGAGTGACTGGCTTCAAGACCATTGTTTAGGGAATTAGTGTCAGATTGATATTTGTAGAGAGTCTTGGACTGGCCTGTCCATCTCTGTTGCCTGTATTGTTAGATGATTGCATTTGTAACTCTGGTTGCTGGTTGAGTCTGTCCATGACTTTTCAGGGAATTTGCATACATTTGTTTTTCTTGTGCCAACGTGCTATATATAGTGAAAAGACTTGCAAAAAGACTTAAAGTTGTGTTTTTTGTCATAAGCAATATATTAATTGCTTGCTTTCAAGAGTGCACTGAAATATGTAGATAAAAATATATAGTGTCTTCAAAATAGCTTTCATTGAGTATGCATGATCCGAGTTTAGGGCCCATTGCTCATAGCTTACAAAATGTAGAGGCTATTTAATATTGCAGGAAGACTGGTAATGCAAAATCTTCTTCAGATGTAAAATTATTAAAGACTATGTCCTGAATTGATAAGTCACACAAAGTAATGTTAGCCATATATGCCAGAAAATGCAAGAGTTTATATTATCTTTGTTAGGGCAATGATGGTAGAATTGTCAATAACATGATTCAACATAAAAGGAAGGTAATTTTATATACAGTGCATTCAGCAAGTATTCAGACTCCCTTCACTTTTGTCAATTTTGTTATGCTGAAACTGATTCTACAGTTGTTGAAATTCATTTTTTCCCTCATTAATCTGCACTCAATACCCCCTAATGACCAAGTGGAAACAGAATTTTAGAAATGTTTGTAAATGTATTAAAAAGAAATAAATTTATTAAAAAGGAAAAAAAAAACTGAAATATCAAGTGGCATAAGTATTCAGACCCTTTGCAACAACACTTATAGCTTAGATGCCTTCCATTTCTCTTGATTGTTACTGACACGTTTCTACACCTTAATTAGAGTCCACCTATGGTTAAGCTTGGGACGTGGTGGCTCAGTGGCTAAGACGCTGAGCTTGTTGATCAGAAGGTCAGCAGTTCAGCGGTTTGAATCCCTAGAACCGCATAATGGAGTGAGCTCCTGTTACTTGTTCCAGTTTCTGCTAATCTAGCAGTTTGAAAGCATGTAAAAATGCAAGTAGAAAAATAGGGACCACTTTGGTGGGAAGGTAACAGCGTTCCATGAGCCTTCAGCCTTTAGTCATGCCTGCCATATGATCTTTGGACAGCGCTGGCTTTTCGGTTTTGAAACGGAGATGAGCACTGTCCCCTAGAGTCGGGAACGACTAGCACATATGTGCAAGGGGGGAACCTTTACCTTATGGTTAAACTGAATGGAGCAAAGTACAGGGATATCCTCAATGAAAACCTGTTCCTCAGCGCTCAGGACCTCGTTCACTTTCCACCATGACAATGATCCTAAGCTGACAGCCAAGATAACACAAAAGTGGCTTAGGGACAACTCTGATCACTTTCCCAGTCCACCGTGAGGTTCCACTTTTTTAATCACGACAACCCCAATATCATCGCCTGTGCCATTTTGGAGAGCACGAAGAGACAATATCCGATTTGTACAACCCCCAAAAATGGCTCAGCCAGAGCCCTGACTTGAACCATATTGAACATCTCTGGAGGGACCTGAAAATGGCTGTCCACCGATGGTCGCCATCCAATCTGACTGAATTTAAGACGATTTGCAAGTTAGAATGGCAGAAAATACCCAAATCCAAGTGTGCAGTTTGTCACATCATGCCCAAAAGGACTCGAGTTTATAATTGCTGCCAAATTGCTTCAACAAAGTACTCAGTGAAGGATCTGAATACTTATGT